AAGCAAGTCATGTGCCTGCCCTGCAGACCATCTAGACAGGGTATGTGTAGAGAAGGGAGAGATGGAGCGATTTATTATTCCCCTTTATTTTGATTCTTCAGTTCACTGTTAATATGCCTGTATATAGTTGGGTGGTTTCAAAATAAATCCTTTTACTGTTGACATTAAGAAGTCCCTCTGTACCGCATAGTTCCCCCAGCCGCTTGGACACGCTAGGAGTGGGTTGGGGACTCCCTGAGGAGGAGGAGAACAAGGGCAAAATGGCCAGTTGCCATTTCTCCAGGGGAGCCCCAAAGATTGCCAGGAAGCCCCGAGGTGGGTTCCTAGCGACATCAGAGGGAGGTTAGGAGGCTGTCCCGCCTAACCAGAGCCCAAGACAGGAACAGTGGTGGCAGCAATACCCGGAGGCAGTAGTGAAAAACTGCCCCTTCAGGTGCCAGGTCAGGCAAAGGAGGGGTGGGCCAGCTGACGGGGCCCGTTCCGCCACACCTTGAATAAAACTTTGTTGGTCTTAAAGGTGCCACTGGACTCAAACTTTGTTCACATAATAAAAGAGTTAGCATAAGTAACTGAGCAATATATACAGCTAAGATTGGAATCATATATTTGGTAAGGTCTGTGGATAGCAGCAAATTGACATATAGATCATAAAAGAGTTAACAACAGCTGTGAGAACTAAGTTTGAGTCCAGTGGCTCCTTTAAGCCCAACAAAGTTTAATTATGTGTACAAGTGGGAACTGAGTTACTTAGCATGTGTAGTGTGATAGGAACCCAATATCTCTGTTAAGCCCTGGGGGTTCAATTGTCCTGAATGTTGTAATACCTTGTAATTCAGCATTAACCCATTCAACTGTTTCTGAAATTCTTTTGCAATAACACAGCTACTTTGAGGTCCCTCACTGAGTGCCCTGGGAGGTTGAAATGTTCTCCTACAGGTTTCTCTGATGTCAGATCTGGATTCATCAGCAAGACAAAAATAGGGATCACGGTGGAACAAATCCAAGCAAAAGGAAACACCATGTACAAAAGGAATAATCCAAAAGTATTCTTCTTCCAGTTACTTGTGAGAGAAGCAATCCACAATCCTGTCCTTACAGGAGAAGCGATCTGATGGCTCCCCGGATGTACAACCTGTTTCCAGCTTTCTTTCTCAAGAATCGCTTTAACAATTTCTTGTATAAATTATTTTCTGGAACCAATCTCTATCCATATAACAAAGATGTGCACTTTTCCCATGGGAAAAGAGAATTCCTGCACTGTTTATTTCCAGTTATATTGTCTTTTGTTATTGTATGAACTTCGTGGTGCATCAGATTTTGTGAGTTTATTTTTCACATTGTATACAATTTGACTACTTTTGCTTATTATGATTATTACATAAAAACAAAATAATACATATTATATGAATTCTTTATAGTCTATCCAAATTGCTTACTTTCTTTTTTAGATCTGGGTTTATTGCAAGCTCTGGTATCAGTGTCCCTGTTCAAACTAGATGTTGTCAGAGGTCATTTCGGGGGGGAACGTGGGGGATCGCAGTTCCCCCGGGTGAGGTGCAGGGGGGCGGGGCACACGATGAAGCCCCGCCCCCTGCTTCTGGCCGCCTCGCTTCCCGCCCTCATTCAGCCAGGAGGAGGCAGGAGAAGAGAGAGGGTAAATTGCTTCCTCCCCGCCACTCCCCACCCCTGCCTGCCTGGGGCCAGGGAGGGCCTTGGTGGGGCTTCCTCGCACTCCCGCCGGCCTTGCAGGTCCACCGCCGGGCCCCTAATGTCAGGGGGTGTGGCATATGCTAATGAGTCATGCTAATGAGTTCCCCTAGCTCTTTTTCTACGAAATGACCCCTGGATGTTGTGTTATTGTGGGTAAGGAGCCGTTTGAGATTGGGGGACTGTCTGTGT